GATGGCAATAAACTCACCACATGTTGCTTAGACTTTGCCGGTCTTGGTGGTCTCAGTTGTGCCTCGCTCTGACCTTACAGGTGTGTGTGTGTATTTTTATATACTAAATAAGCATTTTCCTTAGGTAGCCCTTTCCTCCTTCTGTCTCCTTTGTATTTTACTCTCATGTTTTTTTTTTTTTTTTGGAACTGGGGATTGAACTTGGGCCCTTGTGGTTTCGGTTTCCAGGCAGGCGCCAGAACCACTGAGCTAAATCCCTGGCCCTCTCCTTTGTATTTTATTGGAGGTGGGGAGGGGGAGCTATTTTGGTTTCCTGTACCTGGCCACCTCTGTGCTCTGCCTATCAGCCCTCACTCCAGTCCTTTAATGTAAGTCCCAATGTCATTTGGTGCCTTTCTTTACCTGGTTTCTTCTTGTCTATCTATCCTTGTCCTTCCTTTAATTGCTCCCTCCAGGGAAGTTTTAACTCCTTCCAGTCAGGATTAGCCAGAAACCCTAATGAGGTTCTCATTCTACTCTTTCCCTGCTACAGACCCCCTGTCCCTAAAGCACCAACTGAAGGTTAAGGGAACCAGGTATAGAGAACAGGCTGGAACCAAAGGAAACATCCAGCTGGAGAGAAGCCCCATGACTGTGTCACAGCAAGAACTTCGTGCCTAGGATGCTGTCCCCATAATTCAGATTCAGGGAGGGAGCATGCAGTTAGCCAAGTTCTCACTGTGGTTATGGGAACAGAAAAGGAGTGCCTCCTAGAGGTGGGCACGGGAACAGCTTCCCTTGCTAAGGGCCACGGCCAGTCTCCTGCGCCCCTGAGGGAAGGAAAGGTTGTCCTCTCCTCTGACTGGACTTGCTGCTGGCAGAACCCATGTGGCAGCCTTTGATGTGGTCCGAAGAGACCCACTTGAGGAACAGGTAGGAGCCCAAAAGCTCTGGGCACAGAACTTTCAACCATGGAAGATGAAATTTAACTTTCATCCTCCCCCTACTCACATTTGCCCCTTGCCTGTCCTCCAAACATAGTTCTCATTATTACCTTCAATTAGATCTTTAGTCAATGTTTACAGTACTACCAATAATCGCATATGTTTTTATATATTTCTTTTTTGTACAACTTTTTTTCTTTTTTGAGACAGGGTCTTTCTATGTAGTCTAGGCTGGCCTCGAACCCACTATGTAGCCCAGTCTGGCCTCGAACTCAAGGTGATCCACCTGCTTCAGCCTCCCAAGTGCCACCAAGCCTGGCTCACTTTACTGTTGCTCCTTGGAGTTAGTATACCAGTTTTTCAATTGCCTAGTTTTCTCTCCCTATTGCTAACACACCCCTAAACTGCCATAAGTGAGTATCTCCTCTCGGTGTACCCCACCCTGTCAGACATTCCAACAATTTTATCTTTGTGAAGACACACTTAGCAGGGTGAGCTGACTGCTGCTCTGCTGATTCTGGACTCTCCTTTCATAACACCCTGATTATTCCTTTCTCTTCTTTTCTACTCTGAAACCACCTGTTATGGTTTATATCTAAAATGTTCCCCATGGGCTGGGGATTTAGCTCAGTGGTTCTGCTGCCTGCCTTGAAAGTGCAAGGTCCCGAGTTCGATCCCCAGGTACCAAAAAAAAAAAGTCCCCCAAAGCCTCAAGCACAAGGAGGTGGGGCTTTTGGGAGGTGAGTGGGTCATGGATATGTGATACTGGATTAGTCCCCTGAGGGGTTTATGGCTGGGTGTGATGTTGGGAGGAGAAGCCAGGTGGGAAGAGGTGGCTCACTGAGGGCGTGGCCTGGAAGTCTGTGTGTGTGTGTGTGTGTGTGTGTGTGTCCTTCCTCCTTCCTTGACATCACACTGCTTCCTACCTGCCATGCCATGAACTCTTTCATCTCTGCCATTCACCCTGCCCTGGAGCCAGCTGACTATGGGCTGAAACCTCTACAAACTGTGAGCCAAAGTAAACCTCTCCTCCTTTAACTTGTGGGTGTCTGGTATTTAGTCCCAGCATAATGGTGCCCACTCTGCAAGAGTTTCCCAAGAAAGGTCTGTCTTATCATTTTGGTCTAGAATGTCCTTGAAGGGCCCCTGTGTTAAAGGCTTGGTCCCCAGATGGGCTCTGATGGGAGGCTGGGGAAACATTAAGAGATGGGGCCTGGTGGGACGTGTTCAGGTCCCATACCCGAGGGTATGCCTTTGAAGGGGGTTGTTGGCACCACAGCTTCTACTTCCTCTCTCTCTCTCTCAGCTACAATCTCCATTCCCTCCCTTTTGACAGGGTCTTTCTAAGTCACTAAGTTTTCTGGTCTGGGCTCTAAATTGTGATTTTCCTACCTCAGCCTCCTAGAGTGCTGGAATTACAGGTTTTTATCACCATACCTGTCTTGGATTTTTTGGGTAGGGGTGGAGATAGGGTCTTGATATGTAGTCCAGGCTGCACTGGAACTCATTATGTAGCACAGGCTGTCCTTAAACCCAGAGACTCTGTCTCAGCCTCCCAAGTGCTAGGACTACAGGTGTGTACTACCACTCCAAGCTTGTTTTGTATTTTCAATGGAGACTGGAGGAAACCCAAACATATTAGGTATCCTCTCGGCTCAGATGTCTTTTCTGACCCAATCCAGCCAGGGTTTACTGCTCATCTCAACTGAGCATGCACAAGAGCATACACCTCCCCATATAACACAGGATGTGAACCACAAGAAAGCAGGCCCTCTCACTTTTATTTGCAGACTGAATGGCTCAAACACCTTGTCGGTCTTAATGACCTTCCTATGTCTCCAAAACAGAGCTCAGTAATTCTCCCATGTCCTCCCCAAGGGCAGGAAACTTGTTCATCTGTCTTTTCTCTCCATCCTCAGCACCAAGTGCAATGTCCAGAGTCAAGCAGGAGCTTGATAAATTCCTTTTTTTGGTACCAGGGATGGAACTCGGGATCTTGTGCTTGCCAGGCAGGCATCGGAACCACTGATCTAAATCCCCAGCCCACTTGATAAATTCTTATCAGATACTGCACTGGTATATTGTAAGTATACATTCCCTATTTGTCTAAAACGCAGTCAAAGCTCCTGCCATGCCAAAAAACAATGTCGTCTGGTTTGTTTTCATTAGGTCCTGGAAAGCAATAGCAAAATTGGTGGAATTTCCAGCAGGGTGGCCACTATCCTCTTCACTAGAAGCCATGTCTCCATGAGCCATCTGAGTTTCCCTGGCCCTAGATGAGTCTCTGTGGCTTTTTTTGGTATGGGGATTGAACTCAGGACCTTGTGCTTGCCTGACGGGTGCAGCACCACTAAGCTACATCCAAACATCTCTGTGCTTTTACAGCAACACAGGGATTGGGTAGATGAAGACTCAATTTTTTTTTTTTAAAGAATAGGAAGAATTTATTGAGAGAAAGACAGCTTCTAAGAGAGACAGCAGGGAGACCAGAAAGTGGGTTGCCCACTCATCCAACTTCCCAAAGGTGTTTTATGGGACAAAGCCATGTGGTGAGGTGGGTTCAAGGTGGGACAAAACTATAGTCAACTAGTAAGACTGCAAGTACAGTTGCTTAGGCAATATTGATCTAATGAGAAATCACAAGGTGGAAAAAACTATGAACCAATAAGATTATGACAATTATAGTGGATTAGGTAATATTGAGTAAGTGGGGATCCAATGGGAAAGCAAGTCACGTAGCAAGTGTACAAGGAATGAGCAAGGATTTTCAGTGGTATGAGGTGGGTCAGGGGTCTTTCTTGGAAGATCTTGATCCCCCATCCAGGTGATTGATACCTATTTAGAATATCAATCACTGCTATTCATCTTTAGGGGAAGCACATAGGTATGGTAGTTTCTCTCCTTTTACAAGGCTGGATTTCAGTGAATGTGTCTTGATTGACGTCCATTGTTGGCTTCTCAACTGTCCTCCATGTTGGTTCCTTGAAGGCTGGCCCTGTCTAACTGCCTACAAGACATCTAATTAACTTAACCTATTTGCAATATTCCCCCCTCTGAAGAAGTACTCCTATCTGCTGAGATGGGGGGAAAGGGCAAAGACCGGTCTTACTTCCAGCTGAAGAGGGTCATAGTGATGATCAACAGAGTTACTCTGCACAGGGTCTATCTAAAGGCCCTTGATAGGCGCCAGGCATTGTCACCTTGGGTAGGCGTACAGCTTTGAGTCTCCAACCAGTAATCTCAGTGGAAGACCTCTAAAATGATATAGGGGGAATAGATGCAACTCCCAAACCTGCTGGATATCCAAAATGTGAGTTCATGTTCTCTAAAATCGAAGAATAAAAAAATAAATAAAATCGAAGAATGAATTCTAGGAACAATGGAGGTTAAGAGTAGGAAGAATTTATTGAGAGAAAGACAGCTTCCGTCTAAGAGAGAAAGGGGACTGGAAAGTGTATTGCCCCAAGACTCAATTCTTTCTTGAGATGAATGGGAAGACACAAGTTACCGTCCTCCTCAGGATTTCTTTTGTTGCAAATCCCTGCCTCTGTTTCCCCCATCTCTTTGAAAATGGAAGTTGGATTTCTCCCCAAAGGCCATTTTCTCTGCACTGGCTTTCTTTTTTGGGGGGTACCGGGATCGAACTCAGGACCTTTCACTTTCAAGGCAGATGACAGCACCACTGAGCTAAATCTCCAGCCCTGCGCTGGCTTTCTTGGCAGTGCTTGGCCACTCTGGAGTTTGGGTGAAGCAGACAGTAATTCTTTCCCACTGATTTTCCCAAGGAGTGAGTGCCTATTCCCAGTGAGTCCTTCCCCAGCCCAGAGCTCCCAGCCCTGGAACACACAGCAGTCAGGGACTCCCTCGGAGGTTTATTGGTAGAAGCACAGAAGCACTTGTTATAACACCATCTTGCCTCCCCAATGGCTGGTTAGCCACTGTGGGAACAGCGGAGATGTAGTGAGGGCACAGAAGCCAGGGATGGTCGCTCGTTTTGACTAGGTGTTAGGGTCCCAGGAAGTTCTCCCCTAGGGAACTGGCCACAGGAGCCTGCAAGAGGTGTTCATTTGGGTCATCTTATTCCCAGAGGCTGTGGCTCAAGGTGGCTCTCAGGGGTGTGTTCACATTGACCTGTGACACCACTGGCAAGGGTGTCTTGTGGCTGCTGGAACACTTTATTTTGATGGCAGTATCAGTGCTTCTGTGAGAGCCCAAGAATTTCAGGGTCATTGAAAGCAATAGAAGAAAAAAAAAACTATTAAAATT